CAACATGTTCTTAATTATTTTTGCACTAGTTTACAGCATTATGCATTCACCTATATATGTATGTAAGTGTGCAAATTCTATTCTTATTCACTTATTCACTCAGTACTTCATTGAATTAAACCCAAAAGACAAAAAACAATTTTTCAAGCACTAACCATTGTTGCATGTTCCAGTTAAAATTACGTTAGTATGTATGGCAACTTACTTTATCGATTTGTACTTGAAAATTCACACAATTTTCAAACATAGTTAAGTGGCGAATGTGCTGTCCTTGAAAGTGCATGAAAATATTCCATAAAATAATCACATAAATTTTTTCCAATATTTTTTGTATATTTTCAAGGAATAAAATTTTCATCGCGTAAACTTGCTCATAAAATAAACGAGTTGTTATATTTCGTACAAAAAAGTATTGAAGTTATGAAAAATTACTGTAGTAAAATGTATGGTTTATAATTTATAATAAAATTTAGGAAATATTCGTAATTTCTTCGGCTTAAAGTCAAAATCTTAGCTCGGAATTATTTTACAAATATAATGTAATGTAATAAATTCAAAAAGTGTGCAGAAATTTCGATATGCCTACGAAATAATAACAAAACTCTTTAAGAAGTTTCGAAAAAAATTTTTGTTCTTGATTACCCTTTCGCTCTTCTCCACTTTTTTGTAAACTATATTTTTTTATGCAAGGCTCTTATAATTTAGAAAGGTCTTTTTCGGACTATAATATGGATGAGCCCTTAACACGAACCAGTTGACCATGTATAGAGCTTATAAAAAATTATACTGTCGCAAAAAATAGTTCTCTTAAGTTTCATTTTCTCTCTTGTTATTCTACAAATACTCTTCGCTCATACTTAACATAGCAAACCTGAGCTGAGCGCTGAGCTTAAAAATGCTCACTAAAGCAGCTCAGCAAAGTTATAAAACACAGTTCTATTTTTAAATTAATAAAAACCTGCAGGAAGTTATCATACAATTTAAGTAAATAATATAATAATAAGAACTATAATATTTTGAAGGACTCTAATCCATATTTACGAATACAAAAATATTTCTGCAACTTTTGTATGAGACAACTCTTCGATCGGCTTCTCCGCTTACATCCAATTTACCTCTTCTTGCAGATCGCAAAATTTAATAGAATGTAATCCACTATATATTTCTGTTATATTTTTTCATAATAGATATAAATCATTTGTAATTAAGATATATTCTAATATTCAGCATAATTTTTCCAATTTGCATATTAAAATTATTTATTTCAAATTTTTTCCTTTTTTATTTTCTTTTGCATTTTAGCCACACAATGTCAGCGCCACTTAATATACGCCGAAGTGCAGCAGCAAGCATCGCGCGCTCGTTATTTTTAATATTGTTGCTCAGTTGCCAAGGTATTTCTGGCATTTTGGGCAAATCACAGCTGTGTGAAGTTGAAACGGGACAAACGAATATTATATTGGATATAGAAGAGAGTCGTGGTGATTGTAAGTAGAAAATTATGAAATATTTTTTCGCATTAATAGAAATATGAATAGAGGGCTTAGTTACTGAAAAAAATTTAATATATTCATATGTTTACAAAAATATACTTCAGAGAAATAATGTAGAAATCATGAATCATAATGATTGGAGTATTTTTATTTAATAAAACACATTTTTTGTAGTGCATATCTTTAGCTTAATTGTTACACGCATATCGATCATTTTTCTAAAACTATTGATTGCAATCAGTTTTGTAGGCTAGCCATTGTCATTGAGAAAGACAGATGTGATATCTTAATATAGATATCACTTAATGTAAATTCAGGTTTTTCAGCGTATTTGCTACACTTTTATTTATTTCTCTCGATTTGCGAGTTAATTAAATTTACCAGCGAATTCTACCCACCAGCAGCAGAACGAAAATTTTGCATGCCACAGCCCGGCATGTCGGCGCTGATGAGCCCACTCCCTAGTAATATATACAAATTACAATCATTTCTCTTCATCACTTTATGTGCTAGACACGGCAGTCAGCGCTTACATTTCACTGCACATTGTTGTTGCTTGCTAGCGTTCAAATATTTATAAATCATTTGCTTGTTTTATGGCGAGTTGCTACTTTTATTATAAATTATTTGGCTTATCGCTTAGTTGCTTGTAGATATTTGCAAGTATACGCCACATTTTTTGTAGGCCTAACAAGCAACATTAATCAAAGTGGCATATAAATGTAGCAGAGCGCATGTGTGGGTCGATAACACCACAAGTGGACGGACGCCAGAACAAGTTCCACCTATGTTGCAAGCGCTTGGGATTTACTTAGTGGCAAGCTGTGCTTAAACAACACTTTTCATAATAGCAATAATCAAACCCATAATCATAAAAGGTGTACAATTTTCCAGCAACGAAAGTTTTACTCCGCACTTAAGCGTTTAGTAATTGGAAAAGAGTTGAGTATACGCCCTGGCCGTCGCACAGCGAAAGGCAATCGTCTTGCACAAAAGTTATCGCACAAAATCAACGCAGCCATTTCAACTGGAGCAATTTCATGCAGCAAATGAACTTTTCGCACATTTATAATTTGCAACATGCTACAGCGTCAACAACAGCAACTAAAGCAGCAGCTTCCGCTTGGTCCATTTCATAAGTTGCGGTGCTCAATGAATTGCTGAGCTGCGCCAACCGCCTTGCCACTATATTAAATCACAATAAATGAATCAGCTTTGTGGCTATTAGGCGAGGTAAAATATGGTAACATAAATGTTTATATACGCTGATGATGATGATGCGTTGCCAGTTGTTGCCTACACTACAACAAAAAGCGGCAGCAATTCTGTACACACTAACTTGCACGTGACGCCATTCAAAGACGTCCCCCAATTACTTTTTCAAAGGCAAGCACACACACACAGTCATACATGCTTACAGACAAACTCATCTACGTGGCACCCTTCTTGTGTTGCTTGTCGTCTGCATATCGTGTTGCAAGTTGCCAAGTGTTGTATGTCCAAGGTATGACTCGTATGTTGTAGATTACGGTGCGTGCCACTGCCGCGCCACTATTATTAAAGTGTTCTTGCTATTCTTTGTTCCTGTTGCTGTTAATGTTTGTTGTTTCGCTGTTACGATTGTGTTGCGATAGCAAAAGCAGATCAATTTACTTTTATGCGCCTGCCACTTCACTGTGGCAGATGAAAGCGAATAAAAATAAAACTCATTAAAAGAATCAGCAATTCAAAGCTGTGGCTTTTATAGCACTGTGGCACAGTGTTTTGATGTGATCATTTGTATGCAATTATTTGAAATTATTCATGCCGTAAAAAAGTTTTTTTTTAATATAAATTTTGATGCAAAATAGGGTGACCAACTTAATTTAAATATATTCTTCATTGTTATATTGAATAGAGAAGTAGGTGCAAATAATAAATATTTAGAAAAGTCGCCAACTTAATATAGATGATCCTTAAATGCTTCGAGAACCAAAACACAATAAATCCGGTCTACAAAACAATATCATTTCACCGCCCAAATAAATAATATAAATCAAGGCTTTTTTATAATATTATTTCTTGTCCTATAATTTTCAACGCAAACAGTAGTCTCTTTTCCAAAATCCTGTTAAACTATTTCTGACGCTTTATATGTGTACCTTTCCCCAAAAGATTGCCGACATTCAGGCGCATTGTTCAACAATAGGTATGAAGCAAAATCTGACTCCGAATACGGTGTAGAGAGATATTTTTCAGGAACTATTCATATCTTTCGAATCTTAAACAGTGGTATAAGCTTAAGGAAAACTAAATATTTTTCGGATAATTAAAAAAAATTGGTAAGAGCTATAATAAACATTTTGTTTTTCGGAACATGATGATTCTACGAAAATTTCTTAACAGTATTAAAAGTAACCGAAATATGTATTGCCTACATTTTGGCACTATATTTAGCTAAGTTGCGAACCTGTTAAATCATTATGGAGATTGAAGAGCCACGATCATAAATAAACAATCTATACAGCAAAATTAGTGATTCAGCATTAAAATTTTGGATTTACATGTTTGGACTTTACTTTACTTCATTCAAATTTTTATCAACTGAACTATTTTATTGTATTTCCACTTTATTTTTGTAAGCTTTATTGAATGTCAAAACGATCCTCCATTTCCAATCTAGGGTATCGAAAACTAACTATTTCTTTCTAACAATTCTCAAAATCTATTGCGATTCATTCAACTAAATCACCGTACGCAGTCCTGGCTCTAGTTTTTTTACTTGCTCTTAGTTGTTCTTCACTTGTCTACCACATCAACGTTTGCGGTTTGCCGCTTTTATTAACAAAGAGAAATTGTTTTTAAACAATACTTTGATTGTTATGCCAATGTTGAGTGCTGCAAGTAGATGCTGGCAAATAGTAAAAACAACTACAACAACAACAAATACAGCCAAAAGGTATACAAAGTCTTGACAGGCAGCAATATTCTGCCAAAGCAACGCATCAGCGCGAAGATCTTCAAATTTATTACATGTATTAGTTAGATGCACACACACACATGCACACGAATAAATATACAGTGTTGCATTTCATTTGTCCATCGCTGATATTATGGCTGTCTTGCTGCCTTCCTTTTAACCATTACAATGGAAAATTGAATAAGCCATCGGCGATGAAATGAAAAATATTGGCGTGATTGCGGTTAAATTAACAATTGCTTTTATAGGGTTTGCCAACACACACACACACATATTTACGTTTATATAAGCCAACATATACGCACATGTTGTTGCATATGGTTTTATCATCGGTGGCACACAGTAATAGTTATTTGTTGCAAGCGAAGACAATTGCTATCAACGATAAACGCTGCGATTGCCATTGGTTGCACCAACAAAGACACTGTAAATTTTCTCTTTTGCATTTAGTTAGCTACGGCATTGCTTTGGCATCTCCCTCAGCCGCACGTTTGTACCCCGTGCCGTATACATTGCCACGGGCTATTTTAAACAAACGCCACAAACTGGAAGGTAGTTGCTTTTACATTGTTTGCAGCGGGAAATTGATACCATTTTTCACTTTTCATTTACATTATTGCATTCGCTATGTAAGAGTACTTACCATGCAACTAGCACTTTCGCATTAGTTTCGGAGATGAAATAGGTAAGTACAGAGATATCCAATAGAGGACTTCGATAAGCTTGCTACAACCGCAAATTGGAAAACAAAAATATATATATTACGTTTCATACCTCATTCTAGTTTTGAAAATGGATTGATGTCAAGAATACCATTAGGCTACAGTTGATCCCACACATTTCCGAAATGACTTGGTCATAAGTTGGTTTTTAAGGAGGAAATCACTTGAAGAAAAGGTGGCCTAACTGAACTCTCTGATTTTGGTGTTCTAGGAAATCCATTTTTTTGCTATGATACTTTCCAAAAACTCTTGAAGTACAAATTTTCATACCTTAGCCTGCAATTTTTTATAATTAATGGAAGGTTCTTTCAGGCTTACGAGTATAAAGGTCTCATTATATTCTTGAACTCTACTATTAGAAGCAAAACGTTTAGCTTCTGTATATAAAACATATTGTGTTCAAAATTTTTTAGCTTGGAATTGTTACTTATTTTCGTCCACTCATTATGCATGCATTGTGACCAGAAATTTTCCGGAATTTGTCGTTTAAACTGCCCGCGTTGAACATTTTTCAGCACTTTTTTTGTTAGAATGGTAGCACTATCCTTAATTACTATGCCAAAAATGAACGCTATCTGTCAACCAGTTCTTTTGCAGCAGCTGTTGAAATCAGTCGACCTCAGTTGTGTTTTACGATTTTTCCAATGGAAAAAAATATTAAGCAAGGATTTTGTGTTTGAAACAAAATTTCGTCTGCGGAATCGTTGCGAATGTTAGGAATGGCTTATGGTGAATCTATTCTATCGAAAACCCAAGTCTACGACTGGTACAAACATTTTAAGGATGGCCGAAATCCGACAAAGACTTGTCTCGTTCGTCGTCCTTTGACGTCTACCACTGACGTGTACATCAAAAAAGTGAAGGAAATCGTGCTCGAAAATCGTCATGCGAGTGTTAGAGAAACTCGAGGAGCTCGTAAGCTATACATCGGCCGTGAAGCAGCTCGTTTGATTGTGACAGATAATTTGGGAATGAAACGCGTCAATGCCCGGATTTTTCCAAAAGAGCTGGATTTTTTGCAAAAAGACCATTGTATGTAATGCTTTTAAGACCAAAAACTCGTTCAATGCCATCGATCAACCACCGTATTCGGATACACCGGATTTGACCAAATGTGATTTTTTTGTTTCCAAACTTCAAGTTACTACACCGTGGAACCCGTTTCGACTCGATTGAAGCCGTAAACGAAAATTCGCAGAGGGAACGAAAGGCGATCTGGAAGAGAGAGAATTGATGTGGTATATGTGTATCGCTTCAGAAGGAGCATATTTTGAAGGCGAAAAAATAAATATTGATGAAGATTAAAAAATTTT